CAAGCATTTTCTTCAAATCACACCAGGACCCTGAAGCAGCACTGGCTGCTACAGTTTGTGACCTTGTAGAAACAGAGAAGTCTCCAAACCCGGTTCCTCTTGTGCTTTCATTGCGCTGGGCATAAGCACATCTCTGGTTCTTTCTGTATTGATGAGAAGTGACACCAAAGAAGAAAGGCTGGGTTTCCAAACAGGCAGACTTTTTTCAAAGCTACTAAAGGCAGCTTTCTGTAGCATTTGCTGCATTCTAGTAAGTATTTAACTGACTAAAGTTTCTTATCTGAAAAATCAAATTAATGCCTAGAACAAACCCTCAGACCCAGCAAACCTGTTGTTTGTCCTGCCGGAATGAACAGGAGGGAACATTTGCATCTGAGCTGCGTTGCGCAGGGGTTTAATGCAAAATCAGACTTGCGTGTGGTGGTTTTTGTTCTGTGCCATTGTGGCATATGGACTTGGACAAGCAGTAGCCTTGTCTAGCAACCGTTTGGCACAGACACAGCATTTCTCCTTTTTTGTGTTCCCTGATTTGCTGACAGCTTCATGTGAAAAGGGGCTGTTGGGCAGGTGGAAGGTGAATAGCGAATGAAAATGTTGTCTGAACGGCAGAATGTGATTTTCCTTCATGGAGGTGGCACCAGCTTAAAACTGAGCAGGATTAAGCAGGGCAGCCCTGACGTCCACAGTGTGTGCAGGCAGCGCATTCAGCTGATTTTCTCACCGATAACCACAATAAGCAATGGTGATCAGCTTTTTCCCTAGAATCCTTTTCTTTTATCTACACCAGTTTTCTGACTTCTTGTGAGCTGGTTAATATGCAGAGATTTCTGCTCCATTGACTTGAATGCATCCACCCCAGAGATAAATTTCTCTTGAAAAATGAGAAGAGAAAAATACTGGATTATGTTGCTGGTGACAGATACTTAATCTCAGTAACAGTATTGGGCACGATGATAAAGTAATAAAGCATTTTTTTTTTATTATTTTTAAAGTGAATGGAATGACTCCTCTAATGCCCACCCTCGGCAAGGCTGATGAACATTAACTCATCGTTCTGAAAAACCAGAGGCACAGCCTAAAATCATCCCCGTGCCTTTGTTCTGCAGCAGAATGACTGCACCGTTAGCTGTTAAACGCATTTTAATTCAAATATGTTTGCTACTAGGACAGAAAAAAAAATACTGGAGATTGTTTTTTGCAGGGATCCTATTTAATACATTTGAAGATGATATTCAAGACAGAAATGGGTCCTTACAAGTGAGTAGCTGTGCTCATAGGGTGTAAAAATGCGTTTCTTGCTGTTTTTCCCTCCTTTCCCTTGCTGTGATGAGGACAGAGCTCTTGGCAGACAGCACACACGAGCGATCAGACTGTCGGGCTGAATGCTGTATGAAGGTACTGCCTTTATGGCTGCCAAATATGAGCTTATCTGACGGGCTTTTTTCAAGGTGGTTTCTTATCCAGGTTTCCCACCAAGACCTGAGCTCACAAATCTTCATTCTCTCCCCTGTCTTAAGCAAAGAGATGGGTTTGTTTTGCCTTCTCAGCACAGTACTGAGAACAGGAGTTGCAATTAATCTTTATCTGTGCTCTGATACCATCTCGCTTGAATATTGTTTTTGTCCACTTCTGAAAGGTTAAACGTTTTTGCTGATGTTAAATGTGTTAGGAGGTCACATAAATGAATGGTCATGAAATGCTTTTGTGGAAAGCTGCGTGTGGCAGATAATTTGTGTGCGTGTTCATTTCTCTGTGAGATCAATGCAGTTGTAGGATTTCCTGTTTTACTCGTTGTTGTAGAGCAGTGGTGCTTAGGAGGCCTGAACAGAGGGATCAGCAAACAGCAAATCGAGGGTTTGCTCCGTATTATGCTGGTTGGGGATCATTTACGTCTCAGTTTGGCTGTGAGGATGCCTGCGCACTGCCTTCTCTGACTGTTGTGCTGCAGTGCTGGGCAGCTGATCGGAAAAGAAATACTTGGTGTGATGGTATAGGAGGGATGTAGTAAAACTGGTGGTTCGTATATTCACCTATCTGTTCTGAGGAGAAGCAGAAAGAGAGGATTGTACCATTGCATTACAAATCAATGAAAACTAAGGTCTAGATGCGGTCTGTTTTCTCATTCAGGAATCGGGTAAAGCAGTTGCCTTCCTTGTGTTTTCCTCCAGGTCTGACCGATGTAATCTGTTTTTCAGATAGGGCTTGGTGCTTTGCCTTGGAATCCAATTGCATTTGGCCCCAGAAAGAGCACACTCAGTCTCCTGCTTACTTGCACTTGGAGGACAAGGCACAGGGCTGGGATGTGTTACTTTTTACTTGCATCAAATAAAAAAAAGAAGGATTTGTGGTTTTGCACCATTTCTGCCCTGTTGCAAACCTAAGAGGTCAATCTTCGAAGTGCCCCTCATCTTGGATGGGAAAACAATGCTGTTTAATGCAAAACTAACTTGGCTTGGACAAAATTCTGGTGCACACGGAGACATGGGGCAGGATCCAGGTGAAAACTGCCTGATTTCTCTTACTGCTCTGATCTTGCTGAAATCCAGAGGTGCACCAAATCACGCATGGACGGTCGGCTTAGCTCCAGGCTGGCCAGGGAAATTCCTGGGAGGACTCCTTTTGACTGAACAAGAGCAGGTTTAGTTCCTAACAAACTGGGAAATGAGCCTTTCTGTGTCAGGATGGGCCATCCAAAGCTCTCACTGTAACTTTAATTGGAAAAGGTTAATCTGATTAGTTGGTGTTTGCGAAGAGCTTTAAGGATGAAAAGTGCTATGTAAGTGCTGACTGTTATGATCATGATAGATACGCTTTATCAGCAGTTTGCAGGATGAGTAAGACTTGGGTTTTTTTTCCCCATTTGACTGTAAGGGATCTGAATTCTGGAGAGTAAAAGAAAAATATTTCAGAAAAAAAATAAATAGAAAAGATCCTGTTGTCTCAGGGTATCCTGTTATCTTACTGGTGGCTGCCTCCTGTTGAGCACATTATATTGGTAATAGGATGAACCTTTGGCTGCCCCAAATGATGCCCTTATGAGCCTATGACAACCCTCCAGTACACTGCTTGTAGAAGCTGCTTGCTGGGAAGCTTGCAGATAGCGTGCCTGGTTTTTGGGAACAGTAGGTGCAGTGGGTGCTGCTTTCAGAAATGCTAAGGCAACTTGGATACCTTGAATCTTGTTTCTTTTTTTTCTTTTTTTCTTTTTTTTTTTTTCCAACCATGGCAAGAAGACTTAGGAGCAGAAGTGTTCAGGACAAGGGTTTCCATAAATGGTACTTTGGTACCTAAGTGATGAGGTTTTTTGTGGCTCTAACTGTGATCACACGCAAGGCTTTCCAGCAGACAGCAGCAGTGGATGCTCAGTCTGGTTTCTGTTGTTTCCAGTATGACTTGGACAGCTCTGTCATGGTGAAACACTTGGATACACTGTGCAAAAGAGATCATATAAAATGGGATGAACATAGGAGTTCTGTCTCCTACAACGATTTTCTTGGGTCCTGCCTTCAGTTGAGTTTCTGCTTTCCCTCCTGCTCTTTTGACAGGTTCCTCTTTAGCCCAGAACAGGCCCGGTCCATCCCTGGAGCAGGGTGTGTGGTTGGTGCCCTGTCCACATCCCACTGAGCAGCAGCAAAGCCGGCTGCACACGCAGGCTGCAGGGAGCTGTTTTAGCAGCACAGCAGCGTGGTGACCTGTGCTGGCTTTATTCTAACCTGGAAGATTATCAGCTGTGCTTCAGGCAAGTTAGTCATACAGCTTAGAGACCAGCTCTTAAGCTCTTGTACTTTTCTGTTTTGTGCACTTCAGAAATTTCCATTGTGGGTCAGGTGTGAGGTTTTATTTCTTGTTTTTCCTTTTTTTTTTTTGGAGGGGGGGTTGGGTTGTTTTTTTAGGGTTGTATTGTTCTAATATTTGATACACTTAGAAACAGAATTGCGTGTTTTATGGAAAGAAAAATCCTCATGGGAGGAGCATCCAGAGTTCATGATTAATTTCTAGAGCATGCATGCACGCTATCTGTCAGGGAGGGAGGCAGAAGAGCTGCTTCCTTTATCCTTCATGCTTCTTCCATCCTCAAAAGAAACATTTTGTAGCTGGTAAGCCTTGCAGATGTGGAATCTGAGAAACCAACAAAAAAGGACCCAGGTGTCAGCTGTTTTGCAGGTTCTGTCGGATGACGTTGGATTGTAAAAAGGTGTTTCCAACCCAAATAAGGTTTTTAACTGTTTCTTGCTATCGAGCATAGTCTTTGGAGGCTGTTCCTTGCTTAGACTGCTGTCAGATGGTCTGAGTTGAAGAAAATACACTCAAGTGCAGTTTATAGAGTAGCTTCTACCTTCAGAGCTTGCAGGAAGTTATAAAGGAGGGTGTGATGAAGTAATCCTTCATTTCCCATGTGGAAACTAGGGCAGAATGGAAAGAAGAACTGGTCCGGTGACTCGTGTGCTTTCCTGGTGGTGGAGGAAACCCAAGTCCAGCTCCCAGCTTCCCTGCGAGCTTCCGGGGTGTCGCATTGGTGTGGCTCGGGACAAGCAGCCGGCTGGGCTGAGTCCTGCTTCCCACCTTCTCCCTTGCTAACAGAGCCCGGCATCCCCAAGGGGGGGTGCAAAGTCAGACCCCAACACGTGCAGTTCCCCAGTGGTGTTTCGGAAACCGGGCTTGATGGAAATAATCTTTCTAGCATCTTTGTGGCTCTGTAGTCACTTCCACATCCATTACGTGTTGGCATAACGAATAGAGATTGCGAGCATGGGAGCGATAGGAAGGTGGTAGATAACAGAAGCAGGGAGATGCAAGAGCAGTCAGCACGTCAGCGGCTGAGCTGTGGATAAAACTGTCCTCCTCGATCTGACCCGCAGCCATCACACCTATCTCCTGGCTGCTCTGGCTCTTCCCTGCTCTCAATCAAAGCCCGGATCGTCCCGTGGACTGGGAGACTGTTGTCACCTTTGAGCTGAGTTTTCTGTCTGTGTTCTTTTTTGACCTCAGGTTGCTGTGAAGTCCCCAGTTCCCTCTGCCCGAATTTCTTCCTCTGAAGCAGTCACCAGTGTGTGGAGCCTGCCCCACACCCATCACCTGCCAAACCACGGCCTTTACCTGTGTCTTCCGGTGTTTCCCGTGCGACCCGTCCTGCGGGAGTGCCTCCTGGGCCACCCCAGAGTTCACGCAGCGCTCAGTGGCTCCAATGGTGAAGATGACAAGGTCCAAGACTTTCCAGGCATATCTGCCTTCGTGCCACAGGACCTACAGCTGCATTCACTGCAGGGCTCATCTCGCCAACCATGATGAGCTCATCTCCAAGGTACGTGCGTGACCTCACCCGCAGGTGCTGGGTGGACACCTCCTCCCCGGGGTGCGGAAGGGTGTGTTCACTCGCACTGTGGGTCACTTGCTGTTGGAAATGCCCGGCCTTAACCGGTACCACAGTTTTTGCTTGGAAAATGGGCTCTCGACTGAAAGGACCTACTTGTGAGCTGCTGCTTTTGTTTTAAGCGAGCTTGAAAATAGCTGTAAGGGACAGGTTTCCAAATTTGGGCCTCTGGAGTGCTTGCTAGTCGTCTGTCTTTCCCATTGTATCGCCTATTCCCTGTCATTGCCAGCTGTAAAACTGCTGTAACTGCTGGCCAGGACTGCGTGAATTACCTTCCCAATACTACTTGTTCATCAGCATCACCAAAAAGTTGTTGCGTGATCATGATTTGGAGGCACAGTGTCTGGAGATATTCTCTCTGTTAAGCTTTCAGCTGTACCAAGCAACTACACTAAAGCCCCTGCTTAAGGGAAGGTTCTTCGGTGCTTTCACCGAAATGTAAGTCACCTTTCCAAAGACTGCTGAGTTTTTGGTCAAACGCTCCTATTTTGCCAGTCTGCTATCCATAAGACACTTTGCAATGAAAAAGCAAGGGATGGATGATCCCCAGTAAGGGGATCTCTTTCTGAAGTGTGAAAACTAAACTTTCCCAGAGTGTCTGTTGGAGCCTGCAGTGCCTGGCTGTGGTCGGGCATCAAGTTTTCAGGTTTTAACTGCTTTGGCAATCAACTGTTCCCTAAAGTTTATTCAGCTTATAAAATTTATGTTTGGAAGCAGACGCACCATAAAATTTATTAGCTGAGATGAGAGGAAATTGTGCTGTGACCTCTGTGTGCGCACACACGTGCAACTTAAAGCAGTTCAGCTGCTTGGAGCAGCCTTGAGAGACGCCAGGGTCACAAGAGACAGAGGTGCTCTGCTCCTTAGGCAGTGTGCAGTGCTTCCCCCTTCCTGTTTGCATGGAAAAGGTTGGAATGTGTCACCTTGCACCAAGGGCATCTGTCCTTAAAGGGCTGACATCTTGGCAGCTGTGGAGGCCCTTTTGGGTTCTCTGTGCTGGGTGCTTAGAGCTGTCTTCTTCTGTTGGTCTTCTTCCTTGTTTTCTTGGTTCTTGCATGGGCCAGGTTGATCTGCTCCTCTGCGATGTTGTTTCCATGCCAAACGAGAGGATTTAAGTATTGAATAATGCTGATTGCAGACAGCTACAGTTTTATTTTTCACTGTTTCTGAATAGACAGGCTTCTTATTTGGCTGTCACTTGTGAATTGTTCTGGGCCTCGCACAGGGTCCTCTCCTTCTGGTACAATTGCAGTGGTTCTTAGCAGAGCTGGCCTTGAGGACCGCAAAGCCCCCAGCTTTTAAAGAAGGGGAAGTTTTACATTTCCTCAACAGAAAGACGCTTTGAAATGTAAATATCCACTGCAGTCTGTGTCCAGGTCTAGATGTGAAACGCATTCAGCCTCTCAGACCAGCTGGGTGACTTAAGGCTCCTGTGCTCGGTTCAGATATGTGTAAAATGGGGTAGTTACTCCCCTGCCTTTCCATTGGGAGAGTCGTTACCAGCTGCATTTTGTGCTGGGACACAATACGCCTTACCGAATAAAGGAGGCTTGTTTGACTTACTGCTTTTATGGTGAATTAGAGTTTGTGCACTGCTTTTTTGGCATTGCTGGGCCTCAGCTAAGGAAAGCACAAGGCAATGCGCCCCTTTGACGCTTCCTCCTTCTCCTTGTTTCACGTCCGTGATCCGTGTTGTCCCCTGTGCCATGCAGCCAGCTTTGCAGGTAAGTGGCTTCCAGCAGGGCAATGCCCGTGCTGGAGACTGCTTGGAATTTGGGCTTGTAGCCGTCGAGGCATGCAGCAACTGCTCAAGAATGCTGACTGCTAAAATGTGGACATGGGAGGGAAGGAATGAAAGCGCAATGTGAGGCTATGTGTATCGAATCACCAAAATTTTGTCTACAGTATGCTACAGTGCTTGTATCTGTGTGTTCTACAAAGTTCATTGCAGACTGCTGTGTAAACTTGCAGTAGTTTTGGGACCACGTTGCTGGTGGGGCACTAGCGGGTCATGCAACTTGAATGCAAAGGGGTTGAGGTTTTAGGTTTTATTTCTCAGAGTTATAAACCTTAGTAAGATGCATTTTTGTATAATTTGAAAACTTTATAAAAGTAATTGTGCAATCGTAATTTGTACAACTGGCTATTAAACTGAGAGCAGAAGAGTAGTCCCTGCCTCAAGGGGTTTCCAATATGTGCAGAAACTTTCCCAGGCAAACTTAAACAGTCATCTTTTTATCTGTTTGAGTGAGGTTCTGAACATCTCCCTGAGGCCTGCAGTTCTTTCAGCACAGCCTTTTAGAAGCATCTGAGAGCCAGGCAGTGCAGTTGCTGTGCTTGTTTTCCATATAAAAGTGTGGCAAATGGAAGGAAGAAAGAGAGAGTGGGAGATTTAGCCAAACTGGAGTGTATCCCATCCTGGACCTGACTATGACACTTCAGTCCAAACAGCCCAAATGACACCATCTTTGGAAACGCTCTCCAGAATGCAGGCCTTTATGTAACAGCAGGGTGTTGGTGTTTTGGCTTGGTGAACCTAATTCCTCTGTTCCTTTTGCCCCAAGTTGTGCAGAGACCACATGAGAGCTGGGCTGCTTTGGATGCCTTGAGCTTGTAGTTCCTTTGGATGCATACAAACAGCAGTGTTGGCTGGAGCTGAGTCCCAGTATTGTTCTGGGTCCATCCATACTTTATTTCCTCTTCATCTCCAAGTTTTGCCCTCTTGGCCCTTCAGCACCAGTCTGAACTTACTTTGACTTCCAAGTGTTTTGCTGGGACCAGGTATTCAAAACTCTTTCACAAATATGCCTTGGCAGGGCAGTTTTTGTGGTATTTTTTCTACTTAAGGAAAACTTTGTGCATTGAAGTGGGTAGAAGGTTTCTCAAAAAAGCCATTGCTATTTAAAGAAAACAATCGATGCCGAGGCTTTTAAGAAAATCCAAAGCTGTTACATGAGGCCAGTTACCAAAATGTTGCCTGCTTGCTTGGCCTTTTATCTTCTGCAGCCGGAGGGAGAAAGTGGTTTAGTGTGTCTGATTTGTAATGGGATCTAAATTGTGGGTTGGATCGTCTGGCCAAGAAAGGTCTTATTGACTTAGGAAATATAAGGATATCAGATACATTGGGTGGAGCAAGTAACCAGTTTTCCTTTCTATGTTCCTTTGGTGTCTGGGTTAGCATGAGGGGAGGTTCTTGTTCCCCTGTAGCAATGCATCATTTAAGCCAAATTTAGTACATGCTCTTGTTTCATTGCTTTTTCCAATGCCTAAGTGGACTGAGACTTTGGGAACTCAACCTTGCCCTGCAACAGCTTCCCTGTGACCTTCAGTGAGTCGCTCCATACCTTTGGTCCTGCTTTCCCCACCTGTACACTGGAAATGCTGCTGTTTTGTCCAGTCTGTGTGGAAGATAAAGCTTTGGAGCAGGTTCTGTCTGCTCCTGTGAATTAGTACAGCGTGTCCTAATCTTCTTTGGCTTTACTGTAAAAACAAAAATACCATGCCAGGCGACTGTAGTTAAAAGCATATTTCAGTGCCTTCCAATTGCCAAAAAATGCGTGAAGGATATTTGTTGTTGCGTTTCTTTTTCTCAGTCACAGCATCCTGTGGTTTTCGGAATGTTTAAGAAAAAATACATGTTCAATAATCAATGGTGGTAAAACCTCTCCAGGAAGGAGATGGAGGAGCTTTTCTTGAGAAATGTGCCTTCTGCATCATTTTTAGTGAGGCCTGGAGGAATGGCTAATGCAATAGCCACTCGGCAGTGTAAATAGCATCTCTTTCTCAAAGTGGCAGATGTGATGCTGGTTTCTGTGCTGTTGAAACTCTTTGTTAGCCCTTTCTGTTCTGTTTGAATTCATATGTACCTGGTGGCCAGTAGAAAAGGGTGGGAACGAGAGAGAGATGCAGGTCAAAACCGGCCGTGTTAGTGCCTTGGTTGCAGAGTTTTATTGCTACGTAAACAGTAATTCAGCAGAAATGTTCCCCGATTATGGAAATATGTAGGGAATGTCTTGTGGGCGTCCTGCAGTTTCTTTTTTTCATGAATTACTGTGATCCAACTGCTAAGCATTATGCAGTGATGTATCCTCTGAAGTTAGCCTAAGGCTTGCTGAGGAAGTTTAATGCTTTCCTTTGATGTCTGCAGAGGACCCTCACTGAACCTGAATGTGAAATCCTTCAACACAAAAGGCTGCAGCTCTTCCAGCTTTTTCTTTTTAGAAAAAACAGAGAACTTGCCTGTGCCTGGCTTTCCTCATTGGGCTTGGATTGTGAGCTAGGGCACGCTTAGAGGATCTCTTTTCTGTCTTCATGGACGGGAATTGCAAGGTTTATAAGCAAACCTTGCACCCAGTAGTTGTGGCTATCTGCTTCCCTGGCCAGCAGACTGCTGGAGCCTCAGCCTTTTGCTACAGGAGCCTCTCCAAGACCTTTATGGCAGGCTGAAGACATCACACTTTGCTCAGTGTTGCGACTGGAGGATCTTAAAAGGGTTTGAAACTTTCAGATAAGTTGTGGATGAATTTGGTTACTTCAAAGCATTTGATTTATCGTGTATAGATGAAGTAAGCAGTAATTGTTGGTTTTTTTCTGCCCTCCTTTTTTCTTTCTGAGCACATGGGGAATGCAGTGTGTAATGTTAGTGCCTCGCTTCTCATGAACCAGCCAACATTTGCATGTCAGTTTGCCTCAAAAATGTGAAATTATTTGCTGAGGGGCAGGGCACGTACACAAGCTAACACAATAACCCTACAATTGCCATGTGGTTGTTTCTAGACTTTAATCTAATGGGAAAAGACAGAGGCGTTCAGTAAGCGTCCAAGAGTAGCCAAGTGAAAATGGGGTATTTCCATCATAGGAAAAAACTCTGGGGGGTGAGATGAATATTCCCTTTTCATGGGTGAAGTTCTTACCATTTTTCGTTACCTGGG